CATGGTTCATCGAGCGGTAGCACCAATCTTAACACATTTGCTTTTGAACAATATTTCAGCAAACAAGTGAGCTGGCGCAACAGGGCACTGGTGGTAACGGACTGGGCTAGGCGTTTCATCTGGGGGAGGGACTCGAGTCGCATTTGAATTGAGCCGCCATCAGACGATTTATTGACAAACACTGCGGCGCACGTTTAAAAGGTGGAGTCTAAAGTACAAATAAAACAAAATTTTGTATATTCGAATTCAAATCGTTCGTTGAGGAATTACTTACTTGGAGCAGCAGCAGCAGATGAAGTCTTTCATTTTAACCCTCTCCCAGGCTCGTGGGTTTTTGTGTAAAATAACCGTCTCCATATTCCTCCTACGTCCCAAATTTTGTAAAATAACGTCTCCATTTGGGATTTGAAGGTCCCAAATTTTGCAGTTATAAATTCCCTCCGATTTGGTTGGTGAAGCGATATCTGAATTTTTTGGTCACTTTTACTGTGCACAAAAACTATTTTATATTAATTTTCACTTTTATTTGATATCCCGTTCTATTCGTTTTTTGAAAATTCTTAATTTCGTCCTTGTATTGTGAAAAAGTCACCCTACATCGCCCATCAAATTAAAATCAATAGTCAACTCGTGAAAATTCTTGATTCTGCCCTTATATTTGATGAATTAAGCTGAACAAGAATTTTAAGATTCATTAGGTGACGTACTAACAATATAGTGCGTGCCGTAACGTGAAACGTTGCGGACAATAACATCCTACTATTTTATATGGACACCCAGGAGAGGGCCGTTGGTGGAACATGGGCTTGTTCAGGCTCTGGGGGACACTGTGGTCCAACTGCCCGTTTGGGGACGACGCGGCTTTGCTCTCAGGTTTAGAGAAATATGAATCTACGAGATCATTTTGGATGTCAGGCTGCCTTATGACAACGAACGCCTGTCGTTCATTGGCAAGTAAGGTGCCGAGGTAATGAGGGATGATGAAAATTGACGACAATTCGGCTTGTGCAACAGGGAATTTGTGATATCTGCCGTCTTGGCAGAGACGTTTCACTTGCGGTGAGGCATCTCAAAGTCACATAGTAGGATTAGGCGAGACTATCCTTTCAACAATGGTTGCGTGTGAAACACGTCCCCTCAGACTATAGGGGTGCATTTGAATAAGTCATTGACAATAAAGAATTTTGTTTGTTTGTTTTTTGTGTTCAAGTGGTCGACGAGGAATTACACGAATAAGCGGTAGATAATATCTTGAATATGTGTAACAAATAATTATTGAGAAAAAAGAACATGAAACCTATTAAGACGGAATACCAAGATGAATCATGAAACTGATTAAGTGTTCTTACATATTTTAATTATTGCATATAGCGTTGCATGATTAGTTTGAGAAACTAAAACGCTTTCATTTGTAAACGTGTCTCATATCTACTTCTACTTCTAATGTTAGGAAAGGGATCCGCCAATCACCCAATCCGGATCCTTAAAATTTGATCTAACGGCTAAACTTATTATAACTTGTAACGGACCCCCTATTTTTAGCCGGTTGATCAAATTTCAAAGCTCGAATTTGTTGATTAAGTGGATTTGATGAAAGGAATTCGGAGAGGATCCATTTTCCTAATGTTACTCAACCGAAGCCTAATATCAGAGTTGGAGAGGTTACAGACAATAATACATAGTACTAAGTACAATAAACTACCTTAATGTATTCAAAAAAAAAAAAAACCTTAATTAATTATTAAACCAATAATTAACTCCATTATTAAACCAATAATTAATTATACATTCATCTGCTCCTTCTGCTGTAATAAGCAAAGGTCTTTGGGTTCGCCGCCGAGTACCCGCTGCTGGAGGAGCTCCGGCTGAAGAGGATGACGGTGACTGATGAGAGTCTGGAGATGTTGGGTGTTTGTTTTGGTGGGTTCAAAGCTCTCTCGCTTGTCAGCTGTGATGGGTTCAGCATTGATGGCCTTGCCGCCATCGCCACTCACTCCAAGTAAGTGTTTTTGTTTTCAATTTTCTGGAATTATAAGTGCCCCTTTTCTTCTTTATTTATTTTGGAGTACTTTTTTCGATCCTATTATAACAGAGACTTGTTTATACTATAATTTGAGAACATATCAATTTTATCGTCAACTCATATAATAACATTTGAATTAATAACATTACGTTTTTCTTAGCCTCGGTGGTACAACTTACTATCAAATTAGTCCAAAGCGAACTTCGTATTTAAACTTTGTCCGATTTTACTCGTGCGTGGCTCATGCAAAAAGTGTTATCAATTTAACTCCAAAGTGAACTTCGTATTTAAATTTTATCCGATTTTATTCGTGCGCGCCTCATGTGAAAAGTGAAAAGATCGTCTAATTTAACAGTCGAAATTAGATTTCAGACTTCGAAATAACCTTTTTATCCATGTACATAACAAAAACACTTCACCTCAAAAAAAAAAAACAAAAGTGAAAAACCCCCACTGCCACCACGTCGCTCTCTCTAGTAGTCTCTATGTTTCTGAGGGGAACATTCGACTTCTATTCAAAAGTACCCCACCATCCAATATTAGTGGACATAATAGGTAGGTCAATCAATACAGAGTTGACAGGGCAGTGTGCCGACTTTTTGCAATTGAAAACGAAATTCCCTTTTAAAGATTAAAGTAGGGGTGGTCGCAATTGAATATAAGACGAGAGAAAATTAATTATGGTGGTTTGAACATGTGAACTGATGACCCAGAGAAGTTGTGGTTAGAAAATACGATTATGAGCCAGAGCCTCGATAGAGGAAGACTTAGAAAGACTTTGAAAGAGACTTTAAGATAAGACATGAAGTACTTGGAGCTAATGATAGACTTGGCGCAAAAGTGAGTGTAGATGCATTTTAAGATTCATACAGCCGAGCCGATCCTATTTAGTAGAATAAAACTTTGTTGTTGTATAGGTTAAGAGTAGTTTAGAAGATCATCTTGTGAAACAAAAAATACATCCATGCGAATTCTAGTCTCTTGTCTGCATTGTTTGTTTTTTAAAGTTTATATGGAGCTTCACTTGTTGAATAAACTAAATCGATCCCCTTGTAATTTGACTACAGGAATTTGATTGAACATCAAATTGATGAGAAAAGTGGCAGTTGGTTAGGTTATTTCCCTGAAACCTTCACGTCTTTGGAAATACTGAACTTTGCAAGCCTGAATTCCGACGTCGATTTTGATGCTCTTGAGAGGCTTGTAAAAAGGTGCATATCATTAAGGGTGTTGAAGGTTAATAAATATGTAACCTTGGAGCAACTGCAGAGGCTTCTTACCAATTCTCCTAAACTTTTGGAGCTCGGGACCGGCTCATTTGCCGTGCAAGAGATCGCAGCCTGTCAGAATTCACAACTCTTAAGAGTATTTAGCAATTGTGCGAATTTAAACACCCTCTCTGGATTATGGGAAGCAACCACTCTTTATCTCCCAGTTGTATATCCTGCATGTACCTACAAATCTTACTTTCTTGAATTTGAGTTATGCTGCTGCTTTGCAAAGTTGGGACCTTGCTGAGCTTGTTGCTTATTGCCCACGTGTCCGGCGCCTTTGGGTAAATTTACCACATCTTTCTTTGTCTCCAATTCTTCATTTTGCGAAAGTTTATCGATATATGAGAAGAAAAGACATGGTTTATAGTTGGAAAATTAAAATCATTATTCATTGATCACGCGGAAGACATGACAACTCGAACCCGCTTTAGTTAACTTGTTTATTTTTCTGAACATTGCAAATACTTCATGTACAAGACTACGAATGTTGAAATCGGAGAGTTGGGCACCGTTGAAATCCTTAGGTGCTAACTCTTGATATCAAATTTTTATCACAGGTACTGGACACAGTGGAAGACCAAGGGTTGAAGGCTGTTGGATCTAACTGTCCTTTGCTTGAGGAACTCCGTGTTTTCCCTTCTGATCCTGACGGTGATGGTATTATCCGTGGGGTGACTGAATCTGGGTTTGTAGCCGTGTCTAATGGCTGCAGAAAACTCCGTTATATCCTCTACTTCTGTTGGCAGATGACTAATGCCGCTGTAGCAACCGTTGCACAAAATTGCCCTGACATCACCCACTTTCGTCTCCGCATAATGATCCCGGGGCAACCAGATTACATAACGAACGAGCCTATGGATGAGGCTTTTGGTGCAGTTGTGAAGAATTGCACTAAACTCCAACGGCTTTCAGTGTCAGGTTTATTGACTGACCATGCCTTCGAATACATTGGGATGTATGCTAAGAATTTGGAAAAGCTTTCAGTAGTTTTCGCTGGAAAAAGTGATTTGGGGATGCAGTGTGTGCTGAAAGGTTGTCCAAAGCTCAAGAAACTTGAGATAAGGGACTGCCCGTTTGGGAATGAAGCTTTTCTCTCAGATATAGAGAAGTATGAATCCATGAGATCACTTTGGATGTCAGCCTGCAATGTGACAATAAACGCCAGCCGGTTATTGGCAAGTCAGATGCCGAGATTGAATGTTGAGGTAATGAAGGATGAAGGGGATGATGACCGTGTGGCTGATAAAGTTTATGTTTACCGTTCTGTTGCTGGGCCAAGAAGGGATGCCCCGCCTTTTGTTCTCACTTTCTGAAGATTCAAACCTATTCTGCTAATGCCTTGAAGCTTACAGAGAACATGGTACTCTCTCTCTCTCTCACACGCATACGCACACACACACGCACAAACTCATGGTCACACATGCAACCTTTTTCCTAATTTACCATGGGATAGGTTTGCGCACAAGCAAATGAATGGATCACCAAGTTATTTATCTTTGAATCTGTAAGCATCAGGTTGCATGGTCTTCAACTATCCTGCTCGCGGCTGAAGCTATTTCATGAAGCCCTGCTTCTGACCTAAGAAAAATATTATTCATACAGCCTCAAGCTGCAGAGGACATTTGATAAAGATATTGGATATGAAATGTTCACTTTCATTCAGCTTAATGAAATGGAAGGTCGACACAAGGAAGGGCCAGAAATTACAGAACTTGGAATTCGTTTATTTATTTATTTTCTTGATATACAAATTTGAGGAGAGCAAAAAGGAAGTCAAGGTTTATGAAGCAGAGCTTATGCCTCCACAACCTCCAGTGGCAGGATCTTATCTGCTTCCACAGCGAGGTTAGCCGTTCCCCTGAAAAGCAAGAATGCAAGGCTACCGATGAAGAAATAGATGAAGCAGCCTTGGCTGTGTGTCACAAACGAACCAAAATCTGTTCCTACGATGCATTGCCACCCCAGCCCGTATGTCTCATCGAATTCCTGCATTGAAACAAGCAAAGAAGGCAAAAACAAACACTTGAATTTCAAATCATTTAGCGAGGATTCAATGCTGAGGATAATCCAGGAAAAGGAGGGGTGACCTTCTTTATGAATTGAGCAATATCAGTGGGTTCAGTGACATCGAAATTATCGAGAGCCTTTGCAGCTAAATGGAGAGCGTCTTGCTGCATTGCTTGAAGCATATCAGTCTCATTGATGACGGCTTTGCCTTCCAACATGGCTCCAGAAAATCCTGCCTGGAGTTGCCGCTGCTGTTGGGAAATAGCGAAAAAGCTAGCAGATAAGGCAGTTTAGATTGCAGGCATAGGCTGTAGTGAAGCGAATTATATCGAACGGGAACTTCACATCTCTGTGTGGTAGTCTCCATGCTGTGTGTGATTATCAATGAATAATGCAAAGGATTAGATCAAGGTGGTCAGAAAACAGACAAGCTGATTGAGTGATGGATGATGGGGTCATGGAAGATGCATTGCTTGTGTACACGATCTCGCACCTTGTTCGATCAATGGCTGCGGTAGCGAGGGGCAGTTTTCAATTGGGGGTCCACATTATCTCGAAGAAGCAGGACGTTTGTGGTTGTATAAGTAGATGCTTCCTTTGAATTTCAGGATGCTGTTGTGAGTTTCATAGTCAGTTGTGTTTTTTTTAACCTTTTTCGTTGATCCAAGAACTTGTAGCTTGTCATTGATCAAGGTTGATGAGAAAAATACTGCAAATTAAATCAATAAAAAGAGAAATATTGCTTCTCTCATTATGCACTCAAAATGAGTGTGGTCTTTCTGTGTTGTCCCAATCATTGATTGATACGTACTTATAAACTTAACTTTTCTTAACTTTGTTGTCAGAAACTTAATATGTGTCAGTTAATGATTAGAGCCAGAGGGAGGTCACACCCATTATGGATTGAAGACCTCTATGTGCACTTTATTGAAGAAACATTTGGCACTTGGAGAAGTGTCAGCCTAAAAAATATAACTAAATTTGAGCGGAAATGAGTTAAGTTTATGATAAGTTCTAGATTTGGTTCAAGATTATGATACGTCCCGGGTTCTGTCCTCCAAAAGTGAATATATAGCAAGGCTTGAGCCTTTAATTATCCATTAAGGCATATGATGTAACTGGGGTTTTAGATGCGCAGCTACTTTATGTAGATATGTTGTTAGTTTCAAAACTCTAACTATACATATTTCTCAGTACATGATTTCACGTGATTAAAGAGATAAACATAGACAAAACAATAATTTAGAATTGGTAAGAATCTGTAGTCGTGAAGATCATTTGTCCCTAATGACTTCGGACCCAAAAGTCGATTTAGTGTTTTATTGGAAAGTTTGGAAGCTAATCAGATTGTTTAATAATTAACAGTGGCATAATTAGATTTTGTGGGCAATCTCATGACTAGGAATTCATCACAAAAGCTAATTATAATAACTTAGAGATGGTCTGTGTGGTTTGGTAAGAGGTCTATTGTTGTGATCATGTCTTGAATATTATACTTAGCACAAAGAGTAGAGTAGATGCATACAAAATACACACAAATGAAGTTCATGTATTGCTTCTGTAAAAATGAATTTTATACTTCTGTTAAAGTTGAACTTTTGTGTAATTATGCAGGTTTCTGGTGTGCAGTCCCTTTCAAAATTTGAACAAATAATTGTAACCATATATATATATATATAGTGGATTCGTGGTATCAATTTTCTCACACAATTTTTGAAACACTAGGAACTCATTATGTAATGTATTTCAACATTCTAAATTACCTATTTTTAAGGTCTTCCTTCAAAGATCATGTCTACCAAAATCACTTAAATCTGAAACTATTTAACTGTTGGATTTAGGGTTTAGGTTTCTTTGTAGAACTGTATTTGTTTATTTTCTTTACTATAAATGAATGTCTTAATGGTTTTGGATTTGTCTAATTTTTTGTAAAAATGATTTATGAATAATGTTTTAAAAGATAGATGATTAGAATCATTAAAATATATTACAGAGTGAGCTCCACAAAAACGTGTGTAAAAAGTTATGTAAAATATATTCTCGTATTATATTATATGAATCCTTTAGCCAATGCTGGTCCCATGCATGAACTCTTAAGTCACATCATTTTCTTGGAACCTAATATGTAGATGAAAACGTCATTATATATGGCTATTTTCAAGAAAACGAAAGAGGTGCGATTAATACCTAACACCAACATGTTTAAATGTTAGGATGCCAGATGGCATCATCTTGTGGTGGCAGTTAGAGTTGAGTATTAGTATAATAGTACATTGTAAGAGAAAAAAAGGCAGTTAATGAAATTGTATTGTTTGTATTGTTCTTCTGTTACTCTCTCTCTATGCAATTGTGGAAGATGTAGAGCAGGTTCTAACATTGGTATTAGAGCTTAGGTTCCCGATGCAGCGGAGGGGGCGACCTGGAAAGGGCTACCTTAACGGGGCATCATCTTGTGGTGACAGTTAGAGTTGAGTATTAGTATAAATAGTACATTGTAAGAGAAGAAAAGGCAGTTAATGAAATTGTATTGTTTGTATTGTTCTTCTGTTACTCTCTCTCTGTGCAATTGTGGAAGATGTAGAGCATGTTCTAACATTAAAGACTTGACTAGTACAGTTCTTCCACGTAAACATTTTCGAGTCGATCAGTTCCATGCATTTTATACCCTAATTAGGGTTAACTTCTGAGTGCTTTGGATGCAAGAAGATCTTTAGGGTTTTGTGGAACACATTTGTTTCCTATGGGAATTAGGGTTTGCGGAATTAGGGTTGACCATCACCAAATCGGTTTAACTTAATCAAGGCAATGTGTTTTTGTCTTAGGAGAGTCACCTAAGCTAGCTAGCTAGCTATTTGATCGATCACCAGCATCGCGATGGAGTAGATCGATGAGATCTCAATGAAAACGAAAGATTGTTTTTATGTACTTTTCTCTTCAAAGTTAAGGTACATATTTTGACTGTGCTACTAGCTAGCTGTATTGAGTTTCACTTGTTTCATACTCAAAGGTGTCCCAACAACGCAAAGCAATCACTTTCGAGCTTGTGCAATCCAAATGGCATTTCTACGTACCTACACTTTACCACCATTAAACAACCAACATATATAGTTATATAGCATAACGTACCCTCTATCTAGGAGCTACATAACACAACCCCACGTACGTAATAGGGTTACGTTATGTTAAGACCGTGTTTGGAATTGATTTTGATCAAGCTAAAAGTGTTTCTTAACAAGTATAAAGTTTTTTTTTACTGCATTTGACAAAAGTAGTTAAAATTACTTCTAGGTCATGGAAACGTTTTGTGGAGAATCACTTGTTGGATGTTTCTTCAAGAAGCATTTGCTAGATACTTATTTCAACGTGTTTCTGACAAAAGCATTCAAAGAAAACAAAACATAGAAGTGCTTCCTATGTAAGCTAGTTGATAAAACAAGTTGTAACTTTCGATTTAGTTGTATTTCTCTCCTAGTGACAAAAGAGTCTCAAGTTTGAATCATTCCTCCTCAACTGCTAACAAAAATTTTCTCGACGTAGATAAACAATGAACAAAAATAAGCAAGTAGCATACTTGGTAGAGAGGAATGGGAATTGGAATGTGGTGTAACGTATGGGGTCCCTGGCAGTGTGGCTTAAGTTGTGATGACCATGTGCAGATTCAATTATGCTGGAGGGCCAAAATCTGCCATTGATTATTGCTCATTTTTTGATATATTCAACGGGGAAGCATGGTGGCCTAAGAATTATAGAATGTTCAAAGGACTGGAGAACCCAAACAAAGGGTTTATGCATACATAATTACCCCCACATAAAACAATTTGATCAAACAAAGAACCATGATTAATTAAAACCAAATAATATTCTTAAACTCTTGTTGCAAATAATCATGGTCAGTATCATGACAAAATAACATAAAATAATCCGTGACTAGTATTGTCATGTACTTGGGCACCTAACCACATCATGGGTCATTGATTTTTTTTGTTTTCCTCACTTGTCAACTTTCTAGGATTTTAGTATTGAAACAGTGCATTTTTGCTCACTAGCTATCATTAAGTAATGGTGATACTACTAACATATTTATCATCATTAAATGAGTTTAAATTTCAAAATCACCATCATTTTACGGAGATAAATAGGTCTCCTATTTTTCCATGAACAATAATAAACGATACACTACCAAAAATCTTATCCCATAATATTATGTAAGGATGCTCAAAACCTTTCACGATTTGCCTTTGGCATTCTCTTTGAAAAAGCAGCTTTTGGCTTTTTTTGTAAGCTCCTCTCGTTATTTTTCAGTGCAAAAGGGTAATATATTGGATTGAATAGAAGCATCTTTCTTTTCAAAGTTTGTATAGGAACTCCACTTCCTGTCTGATCAAAAGGAGACGGCTAGCTCAAGGCATCCAACAAAGGGCTTCACATGGTGGGGTGGCGGATTTGTCATCTCATCCCCATGCTTCGAGTTTTGAACTTTTGAAAGCTACCCTTTTTTTTCCTTTTCACCTAATCAACTGTTCGGAAGATTTATAGTATAATTGTCAGATTGTTACGTAATATTAATGATATTACAATATGTGAATTTATTTATTAATAATATATTACAAGTATATGTATATAATGACAAATCAGCTAATTTTGTTGTTCATCCATATCATAACTATAGAAGTTAGAACTTAGATATTATGACGATAAAATATCGTCATCGTAAGAGAATCTTGTTATTTTAGGGGTGGTCTATAAGAGCTCGAGTTAAATTTCTCCCTAAAGTATTAATAGACCGCTTAATTTGTCTCCATTATATACTAGTTAAAAAAAGTTGGTAAAAGCTAAAAGCTAGAAGTTGAAAAGAGTCCGAGCACGGAAATTTCTTAGCATAACACTTCTCCTACTCGTGAACTGAACGCAAACATTCACTTTTCTTTTTTCATTTTTCTTTCCATAACAAAAAGATGAATTTTTGTTGATGCCATATTATGTCAAAGTTTGGACTTTCATAAACCGGGTTCCTTTTTCTTCTTTTTTCTTGATACAGCGAGTTAATACTACACTTATTTGGTCTTGTGTTTCTTCATGCTAGTTAATGATCGGGTGTAATTTTTTTCTTTTGCAGGATATGAACTATGAAAGGGAAATTTTATGCTACTCTTTAAGAAATGGGTAATGATGCTCTTTGTTGTGTATCTATTTATTAATAATATATTATAGGTGTATGTTATATAGTGACAAATCAGTATGCCGTTCATCTGTAT